CGTGGAGGAGGAGTTGTTCTACTCTTCTTTTTTTCCTTTCTTCCCGTCTACTTCAGTTTGTTCTGCATCTTGAAAAAGTGTGCTGAGGGAGAGGTGCAAGAGGAAATTTAAAAGAACAGTCAGCCACAGACGGAATAGAAAAGACACAGAATGTTCGAGGCCACTACACTGTATCCATGCCAGAGTATAGACGTTGGGGCAAGGGTGCTGAGCACAAGGCAGGGGAGCGTAAGAATGACACTATTCTCCCAGCTATTTTGTTCCAAACTTGAAGCAGACGTCGACTCAGAAGTGTGGTTGTTAATCTGACTGCATCTGGATTCGAACTGCGGTCTAAGTTTCAACAGATTATCCGCGTACTAACTGAGCTAGGCCCCTTGTTCTTATGTACCTACCATGGTGCCACATTGTGAGGGCATGATTTTTTTATTTTTCATTTTTTTTAAAATTTTTTTTCGGGAAAGGGCATGATTGAAGAATGTAATTAATTGTGTGATAAGTGGGTAAGCACACCTGATATTGGCTATCGTCCCAAAAAAAAAAAAAAAAAGGATATTGGCTATCGTCGTAGAGATATAATCCCCAAAAAAAAAAAAGAAAAAAGAAAAAAGATATTGGCTATCGTCGTAGAGATATAATGGAGGATCAATATATCATCGAACAAAGCTGCCCGGTGCCACATTGTGAGGGCAGAGACGGAGACGCCGACAACGAACAAAGGGGGGCTGTGACAGAGTTCTTCGTCGGAGGATTAATATATGCTGTGCATTAGAGAGGGAATGCAAAGTGTATCGATAAAAGCATGCAAACACAATAGGACATGAGGGGAAAAAGAAGAAGAAGAAGAAGTGAATAGTATATGTGATTCTGATTACGATGGCGGAGGTTTTCAGCCGAAGAGTACAGTATAACAAAAACAAGGTGTTTCTGAAGAATCTGAACAAAATAACCGGTCAAGTGGCATCTCCAAGGAAGGAAAAAGAAATAGGGGGGGGGGAGGGGGAGGAGGGACAAAGGAGAGAGATCCTTACATGCACAGGGGCCATGCTAATATTAAATCTTCTCTATATGGTTCCCCAATTTTTAAGGGTTGTCCCGAAGAACTCTTGCTCATTTCATCTCCACCTTTATGGGAAAGATTTTCAGATGAGAACAACGGAAAAAAGAAGGGGGAGATTTGTACAACTTTGTAAGCAGCAAATTAATTGCTGCTCGATTTCCCGCTTTCAAAATATCGAGTAATTTTTTTTTTTTTCAAAGGCACCCCTTCCGTATTCATTTTAACTTTTTTTTTTTTTTTTACACACTAAGGCCTGCGCCGCTCTCTGCAGAGGGGTCGCTGGAGGGGTCGAGTAAGCAAAAGCTTACCCCCCGTATGACCTCCCGCCTGTCTATATCTATAAATAGATACAAGTAGAGGCCTCCATCACGAGGTGATCCGAAACACTGCCAATGGGCCCATCACGAACAGAAAACGACCAGAGAAATGAATAACAAAAGAGAGCAAAGATAGCTACCGGCTTTCGTTGGACTGCCACCAACTGATCAGGAGGCTGAACCCTCGACAATCTGCAGAACCACCACATTGCCACACAGTCTGCCTCGAGCCCTTTTGAGGGTAGACGGCTACGCAGGTGACAACACAAGCAACAAGGCAAAGCAAGACGCAGTAAACAAAACGTTGGGCAGGCAAGGGGTGGGTGGGCGGGTATGAAGCCCTAAGGGGTGGGTGGGCGGGTATGAAGCCCAACAAGATAGCAGCGGGCGAAGTAACAGAGAGCCAAACGGTTCAGCAAGCAGGCGGGGGAGGGAGGAGGGAGGGAAGAGATGATCGCAGAAGGGCGTAGGCAAGAAAACAGGGAACCAGTGGCCAGAGGATGACGTTCATGAAACATAGACAGCAAATCTATACATTGCATCCTCCTACTGTTTCTTATCCTCTCTCTCTCTCTCTCTCTCTCTCTCTCTCTCTCTCTCTCACACACACACACACACACACACACACACAGA